TTTTCTCACTAAAAAAACAATTTTATTTAACACCCATCAACCGTATCTCAATCGTAAATGTTTTATAAGCATTCTCAAATATAACTCATTTTTTTGTGTTATGTATCTTTCAAAATCAATCCTTCCATAACTGTTAAAAAGTTTATATGCATTAATTACACAAACAAGCACATAATTCTAAAATGGATTAAAAATTAGAAGGACTCTTCCAAAGGCTACTGACTTCTTAAAAACTTAGCTTTGTATGTTTTCTAGTTATAATTTATTGTGTTTTGCCCTGGTTTACCTCATTGAATGATTCAAAATTCAGAAACCAATTACCTTATCCATCGTGTAAGCATAGTGCTCCCATAGATGGGTACAAAGCCATGCTCCACCCATTGGCCATAAGGCCCACAGAACACCACCATGACCTGCTGATGTTCTATTATTATTGTCATAACAGCATAAATTACCATGTCATTCTTATTTTACTTTCTATGCTTACAAAATCCTAATAAATTACAAACAAAACATCCATCTGCTTCATAAATTATAACACCATAATTACTATTCTTTTTCCTTTTAAACCTTAACAGGATACCCCTCTTTATATTCATCATCATCAAGGAAAGCACTAAATTCAAGTTTTCTCTACCCAAATTACTCCGTACCTTAATATTTATAAAACTGATTCAAACTCAACCGATAAAAGAATACTAATCCAAATATCTATCATACCATAATTCCTCTTAATTTCAATTTTGCAAAATTGCTATAAGGAATCTGACCACTGCTTCAAGGTTCCATCATAAATTTTCTATCTTGATTTTTATATCATTTATCACACAACTTTGGTGAACAACCGTACTAACAGTCCTTTGTTGGTGAACGGCCGATTGTAGTCAAGGAAAATTTGTGGGTGAAAAAACTTTGTCACATAATAAAGTTAAGTATCATTATGTTTTTTTATTAAAGACATGACAACGGACAAAACAAGGAGGGATGCATTTAAATGCGCAAGAGTCGTGTGTGTTGGGAGAGTCACACGTCTGATGCTTTTGTCACCATGTCCAATAATGTCTTCCTTTTGCAAAGATTTGAAATTTGCTTTTTTTTAATTATTTTAGTGAGTTTTGTGGTTGTGACACGTGTAAAAGTTCCATTTCTGTTCCTTCAATTGGATATATATGCATTACTATAAATATACATACTACTAATTATAGATATGTAAAATATAATTTCCTCTGTTTATATAAAAAAGTCGTACATTCAAAGGTGATTTCTCTTTTTAGCTTAAATTTTTATATAACAGAAAAATGTTTTTTTTTAATCTTTTCATTTATTGAAACTCTAATTAAGTTTTAAATTTCTCATAAATTTGGACATCTTTAATTGTTTTTTATTAACTTTTTTTGTTGCTCAAAAAGTTTTATACTTTTTTTATAAGTTTGAACTGTTTAATTTTTTCGTTAGTTGGATTATTTTGTTTAATCAACTTTTTTACCTGTCTCCACATGAAAGGAGTTCGTTTAGTTATTACTTCAAAAATTGCTATGTGAAATGATGAATGAATTTTATTATTTTTGTTAAAAATATGTTGAAATAACGAGATCAACATATACATCATCATCTAAAGCGATCAAAGGATTATTCTTGTGACAACCATCGATGGTATCATCCTTAATATTTAACATGTTTTCAATAATCATAATGAACAAGGAATTGTTTTGTCACCACAATTGATGAAAACGACTTAATTATTTAGCACATTTTCAATAAAAAGAAAAAATCATTTTACATTGTACATTAACCATAATATCATTTTTATACTAAACATACAAGTAAATAAGATGATCAAGTAAGAGAATAGTCACTCGCCTATTTTAAAAAAATTAAAAAACATAAATATTCATCTTAAATACTCAACTGAAAAATATATAAATTATTTAAGTAATTAATTAATTAATATATATATATATATATATATATATATATGGGGTTTGCTAACGCGCGTACGCCTGTTTTTCAGTTGGTACATTTTAGCAATGTGTACCAGATTTTAGTAGACAAAAATATCCTTATATAGTATGGATTCCGAGTTTTAAGGTTAAGGGTATTTTAATAATTTTCATTTTCAAAACTTAAAAAAAAAAAAAAGAAACCCCCAAACCCTTATTCACCTCTGTCATTCCTCTCAATCCTTTCTTTTTCATCTCTCTCACTCCAACCTTTTCTCTGTCATCCCTACTGTAGCCCCAATTGAAAAAATCAGAAACACCCTACTGTAGCCCCAATTGAATATGTCTATGACTCAACTTAACTCTTTAGAAAGACAAATTGTTTAAAGGCAAGTGTTTCTGATTTTTTCAATTGGGGCTACAGTAGGGATGACAGAGAAAAGATTGGAGTGAGAAAGATGAAAGAGAAAGGGTTAACAAGAATGAGAGAGGTGAGTAAGGGTTTGGGGGTTTCTTTTTTTTTTTTTTTAGTTTTGAGAATGAAAATTATTAAAATACCCTTAACCTTAGAACTTAGAATCCATGGTATATAAGGATATTTTTGTCTACTAAAACCCGGTACACATTGCTAAAATGTACCAACTATATATATATATATATAAAGTTAACAAAAACTCAATCCAAAATATCCAAATATATGAACTTAACTAAGCATTTATTTAATAAAGTACGGAATATTCATATTGCATATTGCAAATTCCAATTTTAATTTTTGCGATATCAAAGTCGACTTTACTATGTCCATTATTTTTCAAATACGGGACTTTGACTTTTTTTTAATATGTAACATGAAGTTATTTCTCATATTTTCTTTTTTCTTTTTGTTTATTTTCCAGAAGATACATTATATATATTTTTTTCACAAAATGTAAAAAAAATAAATTAAAAATACAAAAAGAAATTACAATTCACTAGTACAAAAACAGTGTATAACATTAAAAATGAACGATGACATTTTTGTAAATAAATTCAATTATTAAACGTCGTTTAGAATTGTAATTTGACGCAAAAGATATAAAACTTCAAATGACTTTTAAATTCGACATCAAAATGTTAATAAATTCAATAAAATTTAAGCGGGAGAATGAAAATTCATTCATTTTGTCAGTGAATTCAATGAAAATTTGAGTGGGAGATTGAAAATTTATTCACTTTATCTTAGCGCGCGATACCTCTTCTCTTCTCAAACTTTTCTCAAACGAAGTTTGACGAGTAACACATGTAAATTTTCTTTCATTTGATACAAATGCATGTTAATTAATTACTTTATGTAATTATTTTCATGCTCTTGTCCTTCGTAGAGGCATTCTGTTTTCTCTCTCACCGGTGACGAAACTTTATTCCGACCAACCCGCCTTTTGAATGTTAGTTTTCTTTTTCGTTTTGAAGAACTTATTTGTTGAACTTGTTTGTTTTTTTTTTGTTGAACTTATTTGATGTTGTTGTTTAGTTAAACTTGTTTGTTCTTGTTATTTGATTGAACTTGTTTGTTGTTGTTGTTTGATTAAACTTGTTTTTTGTTGGTTATTATTGTTTGTTGTTGGTACTACACTACACGTTTATAGTTCATGCTTTATAAAATACCAAAAACTGAAATTTGTGTTATTTTTTTGTTTTTTCAGGTATCGTAGAGTTGTAAAAAAGGAACACACTTAATTAAAAAAACAAAAAAAAATTGATTAACGTCGAATATTGACAAAATTCGAGTTAAGTTAACGTCAAATTTTTTAAATTCTACGTCAAACTTACGTCTCCTGCTATGACGTCGAACTCGAATGTGTCGTTAAAAAACAAAAATATTCGACATTATATGTTGTTTTTGTACTAGTGATTTTATGGTTTAAGAAAATTATAGAAACTTTAGCTCATCTAAAAGAAATATATTACTTAGGGATTACAATTTCTTTATTATGTATAAACAGTTTTTTTTTAATTATGATTTTCGTTCCAATAAAAATATTTTTTTTTGTTTACTTGGAAGTGATTCATTATTTTATTTATGAACATGAGTAGCAATTGGTATTTCTTAGTGTCATCGCGGTGTGTATGTGAAGGTCAAGAATAAAATTTGAAATCGGATATCATTATAATTTTGGAAGTAGATGAAATTGAATTTCATAAATATTGTAAATGAGTTCGAAAAGTGTGTGAGTAGTTATAAATGTCAAGAAGGAAGTAATTTATTAAGGCCACGCACTTATGTGATGTCTGTCTGATTCATGCATGCACTTTTTAGTATCGTTTAACAAAACACAATGTAACTTTAGATTAGAAAAAATATGTATAATTAAATTAGCCTTGGTTTTTAAAATTTACTTTCTAGTTATTTCTCTAATCGTAACTATTAGTGTATACAATAGTGCAACTTAGGAAAATAAATTGAAAGGATCCATCGTTGACCCCGAGTCCTCCCTTCCCTTCCATTATTTTAGTAAAATAAAAAATATTTTTTTCATCATTTGACAACGTTTAATGCATTGTTGGGAAGATCATTGGAAGGGGCAACTTTATCTTATAATTGACCCCAAGTCTTTCTGAGTCATTCATTCCATATATAGTTAGTAAATGATAGGAGCACATACACTCATGATTAAATCAAGTTGAAAGAAAAACAGGTGCAGATGGTAAAGCAGCTTCTACTTGTTGTGTTCCTCACTGCTGCAGCAGCAGCCGCTAAAGCCCATCCAGTGACAAAGCCAAACTGCCCAACAAAGTGTGGGAATGTTAGCATTCCCTTTCCCTTCGGCCTGACTAAGCTATGTTCTCTCAACACCTCATTTCTCATCACTTGCAACAAAAGCCTTTCACCACCTATTCCATTCTTGAATACTACTAATAATGAAAAGGTGCGGGTGCTGGACATCTCACTCGACGGCCAACTTCACGTTTCATTGCCAGTTGCCACAAGTTGTGTCAATAACAAGAATGGTNTCATTCCATATATAGTTAGTAAATGATAGGAGCACATACACTCATGATTAAATCAAGTTGAAAGAAAAACAGGTGCAGATGGTAAAGCAGCTTCTACTTGTTGTGTTCCTCACTGCTGCAGCAGCAGCCGCTAAAGCCCATCCAGTGACAAAGCCAAACTGCCCAACAAAGTGTGGGAATGTTAGCATTCCCTTTCCCTTCGGCCTGACTAAGCTATGTTCTCTCAACACCTCATTTCTCATCACTTGCAACAAAAGCCTTTCACCACCTATTCCATTCTTGAATACTACTAATAATGAAAAGGTGCGGGTGCTGGACATCTCACTCGACGGCCAACTTCACGTTTCATTGCCAGTTGCCACAAGTTGTGTCAATAACAAGAATGGTGAATCAGACAAGGATTTCTTTTTCTTCAGGTTATACACACCTTTTCACCTGTCATCTCGGCAAAACAAGTTAACTGTATTGGGCGCTTACACGGCAGGAGTAGTATATGATGACTATTTTAGATTCTGGAGAACATACCCTCCCACTTATTGCGTGTCCTTCTACAGCAGCGACCTTTACAACAAGACACATGACGAGTCATGCTCCGGCACTTTCTGTTGCGAGACTCCAATTCAACATAGGCTATCGGAATTATACTATGCTTGTGCTGCAAATATCTTCGACTATAACTCAACCAGAAGGGAATTTCTGTCCTACCCATGTGGTTATACATTTCTGGCTAAGGAGGGAGCCTACAATTTCTCCATGTCAGATTTCATCAATTTTAACACAAGCAACACGTTTCCCGTGGTTGTGGATTGGGCAGTGGGGAACAGGTGCCCAGCTGCAAAGAAGAATGCTTCAAGCTATGCGTGTAAGTCAAAGGACAGTGAATGTCACAATGCAAAGCTGGGACCTGGTTACCATTGTAACTGCTCCACTGGTTTTCGAGGAAATCCTTACCTACTAGATGGTTGTCAAGGTCTCTATATTCTCCTCCTTTTAATCATTTTTAATGTCTTTTTATACTTTATAAAATTATCTTTATTATGCACACAACATTAAAACCCTGCTACAAACTTGTTTTGTGTTAAAACATCACTCATTTTGAAACCGAGTGTTAATTATTTCATATTTCATGTTCCAATATACTATTGTTATCAAGTGTACAAATTAATGACAAATTATACATAAATTGTGAACATATTTTTCTTTAAAACTCGTTAATTATCTTTTAGATATTGATGAATGCACTGAGGAATCCCACAACTGTTTAAAGGGGAAATCAAAATGCATCAACAGTCCAGCAGGGAGTTACACTTGTTCTTGTCTAAAGGGATACGGCGATGGCAAGATCAATGGAAGCAGATGTGTTACCAAGAGTAACCGCAAAATAATAATTGCTTTCAGTAAGTATACTTTTATTTGTCAAAACATTCTATTCTCCGTTAAAGAACAACATTAAAAGGGTTTATTATTACAATATAATATTCCTGAAAGAAATTTCATTGGTATAAAAAACGATATTAATAATCTAAACAACATCTTTCTATATACATATGTTTTGTGTTAATTACTATATGCATCTAAATAGATTAACAATATTATATTCATATCACACAAAAAGGGGACGATGACTTTTTGTTTCAGGAATTGTTGAGCCACCACTTCTCTTTATTCTTCTGGTTTTGAATTCTCTTGATATGTTGCTTTCAGTTACGTAATAAATCACTAAATAAAAGCATATTTTCGTTCCACTCACTTAAAAACATATATGACCTCTCCTTTATTTGAATCTTTCCATTCACTAAAATTACAATAGTTTTGTCCTTTGTCTGTATAAGGCGCTTGTTATTAAATGTTTCATCAGCAATTGAGAAAGTAATGGTTTACACTTGTCGATGTTCAGGTGTGAGTGGAAGTATATTGGCACTTATGGGAGGAACCTTATACATGTACTGCACATTAAAGAAAAGAAAACTCAACAAACTTAAAGAACATTTTTTTCAACTAAACGGTGGTTTGTTATTACAACAATATATAGGCAGGTACAGTGGATCAAATGAATTGACAAAAATCTTTACTGTGAAAGAACTAAAAGAGGCCACCAACAATTTCAATGAAGAGATGGTCTTAGGCAAAGGTGGGGAGGGAACAGTTTACAAAGGAATATTACCTGACAATAGAATTGTAGCAATAAAAAGGTCCAGAGTTAGTAACCCAAACCAAACTGAGCATTTCATCAATGAGGTGATTCTGCTTTGTCAAATCAACCATAGAAATGTGGTGAAACTCTTGGGATGTTGTTTAGAGACAAAGGTTCCCTTACTTGTTTATGAATTTGTTCCCAATGGAACTGTTTACGAGCATCTCCACGATCAAAGCAAATCTTTAAGACTTACATGGAAAAGAAGATTACAAATAGCAGTTGAAACTGCTGGGGCCCTAGCATACTTGCATTCTGCTACCCATGCACCAATCATACATAGAGATGTGAAAACTTCAAACATACTACTTGATCACAATCTCACTGCAAAGGTTTCTGATTTCGGAGCTTCAAAGATTATTCCTCTTGATCGAACTCAGTTAACAACTTTGGTGTTGGGGACACTAGGGTATCTTGACCCAGAATACTTCCACTCAAGCCAGTTAACAGAGAAAAGTGATGTCTACAGTTTTGGAGTTGTCCTAGTCGAACTACTAACAGGAAAGAAGGCACTCTCTTTTGAAAGGCCAGAGGCTCATAGAAACCTAGCGATTCACTTCCATTCTTCAATGAAGGAGGGTCGGTTACTTGAAATTTTCGATGATCGCATAATAGATGAGGCAAATGTTGAGCAACTAATGGATGTTGTAAACATTGCAAGCCATTGTTTAAGGTTGAAGGGGGAGGAAAGGCCCACCATGAGAGAAGTGGCAATGCAACTTGAAGGAATCAACATTGTGGAGAAGCACCAATGGGAAAACGTGAACTTGTCATTAGAGAATGCTGAATCTATTCTCAAAGCAACACCATCATCTTCTTTTAGTGTAGATGGTGTTAACAACATAAGCATGCATTCTGGCTCTGATGTTTTAAACCAAATTTCCTTCTCCTTAACTAGAGGAAGATGATTAGCTCATGTTATTATAACAATTCACAAGACTGTCGTTATTCAAGACTAGATTCAGAATAATGGATTTCATGAATTGTATGTTTTTTTTTCTTATTGCACAATGTGTCATTACTTTTATGATTAAATGTTGTGTAATATTGATAGACTTTTTAGTTAATATCGTGCCTTGAATGGTCTTTCATGTTTACATTAGTTTTACAATTAATATTCAAGTGGAAATTGTGATGGGATGAAATGTAGTCTGGAATATCATATGTTTTTTCAATAAAAGTTAACTTTAATATTTAATTGATTTATTGGCTAGAATTTTGTAGGTGGAGTTGATGAATGTTTTCTATTGGTTTTACTTTATAATTAACGTGTCATGTTATTGAAGATAGATATGTGAAAATACGCTAGCACACATAAAATTACTAATATATATTTGTATTATTATCACTTTAATAATATCGATTTAACGTCCTCCCACCCACCGAAGTTAATGGGGATAAAATAGTGTTGATAGCTAAATACATATTTATATTTTTATTTAATTTTTAATGTTAGTTTCTTAATATGTTTTTGAATTTTAAAAAAAAGTTTTAATTAAAATTTGTTATAATTTGGTTTATTGAGCATGAGATAAAAAATATGTTAAAAATATTTTTTTAATTACATAAATATTTTTCGGATAAGATAAATTCAATAATAGAAATTATTAAAATCATAAAAATCTAATTTTGTCTTTGTATTTATGTAAAAGATAATTGGAGAAAATTAAATTATTAGAAAGAAGATTAGAACAACAAAAGAACCCAAAACAAAACTCATTCAAATTTTTATATAAGGACATGTAGAGAAACACATGACGGCAGCTTAGTAACCCTTTGAGGGCCTAATTTTATCCACTTCCTCGTCTTTAATGTTCTCCCTCCTCTTTTATTTTATTTGTATATTATTTATATTTCATATAGTGTTAAGTCTCTAAGTTGATTATGCTGTAATTTCTTAACTGGATTATGAGGTTAGATGAAAAATTTTGTTTGTTCTTTTGATAATTACTATGATTTATTTTTATCTATGATTTTTGTCCCTTAATAATAATTTTTACATTGTAACAAGTTAACCCGATGTTAAATATACATAACATCACATGAGTCAAAGGAGTTTTAGTTTTAATTGAGAAGCTATTTTGATTAAAGTTATAAACTCACATGATTGAATGAGATTTTGTCAATAATGGGAACTTATTTTGATTAAACGTGAAACTTTAATTAGAATTAATAAAGAAGTTATTTGGTTAATTAACTTTTTCCTAGATATAAGAGATAGAGTTAGATATAAGAGATAAAGGAGTTAGGTCGAGTAATATTTAATTGAGAAGTTACTTTAGTTATATTTGTTGTGATTAATCTAGAAGGTCTTTGGTTTTTATGGAAAAGTTACTTTGGTTAAAAATGAGGATGCTAAAAAATTAATGGAGAGTTACTTTGATTAATTTGAAATGATTGACAAAAAGTCAATAACAATAATCTTTAGGAAACGATGAATCCCATTTGAAACATTAATTGAATCAACATGTTTTCTTTCCTATTATTTTTTATCTCTTTTAATCTTTTTCCAATTATATTTCTTTCTTACATTTATTATTTTGTTATCTAAATATTTTATTTATCTTTATTTTCTTGTATTACTTCTATTATATTTGACTAACTCTTTTAGTATATAGATTTTATAAGCACTAATTTGTTAGGAATCAATTTTGTTTTCATTGGAAGAGACTTAGGTTTGACTTTACCTTTTTGTTAGTTACTATCTTAACAATACTAAAATTGTTATAGTTTAGTAGTATTAATTTGATCGCGTTATTTCTACTTTTATGTCATTTCTACATTCCATAGAATGTTAAACTTGTGGAGATTGATTCTATTATAATTTCATTATGAATTCTGAGGTTACAATGAAATAATTTCTTTGTTATTTTAGGCTTAAGGAAAACATTGGTTCTTATTTTGATTTACTTTGTTCAATTTGGTCCTTTTATTTTTAATGTTCAATAAGGTCCTATTTTTTGTCAATTTTCGTTAATTTGGTCCTTTTTTGGTAATCGCATTTAAATCGTTCACGGAAGATGATCAATACGTGCCACGTGTTAGTTCTTGATTTTTTTAAATTTTAAAATAAATGTCCACATGTCAAGTCAACATTGTGTCAAGTAACTATCAGTGTCACGTGTCAAGTCAGTATTAGTATCACTTGTCAAGTGAGTGTCAGTGTCACGTGTCACGTGTCACGTGTCAAGTGAGTGTTAGTGTCACATGTCACGTCAATGACCGCCACGTGTCAAGTCAGTATTAGTATCACTTGTCAAGTGAGTGTCAGTGTCACGTGTCACGTGTCAAGTGAGTGTTAGTGTCACATGTCACGTCAATGACAGCCACGTGTCAAGTCAATGGCAGTGCCACGTGTCAAGTCAGTGTCAAGTTAGTGTGAGTGCCACATGTTAGTTTTAGTGCCACGCGATAGTGTTTATATTGAATTTGGTCCCAATTTTCGTTAATTTTGTTCAATTTAGTTCTAATTTTTGTTAATTTTATTCAAATCAATATTAATTTTTTCTCTCCCTAAATTTGAGACCAAATTAAATTTTTATTAAAATTTACATTTTTATTAAATATTTCTTTCATTATTTTTTAATCAACTCTAACTATATTATTGGAATATAATTATTAGATTTATGTTTAAGTTTTTTACATGTAAAAAGATAAGGTTAGAGTTGGTTTAAAAATAATGAAGAATTTTTCTTTCAATTTAAAAATGATGAAAAAATAACTTTAAAAATAAATTAAAATTTTCCTTCTAATTTTAAAAATAAATTAGAATTTTCCTTCTAATTTTAAAAATAATGAAGAATTTTTCATCAAATTCTAAAAATAATGAAGTTTTTCTTCTAAAATAAAAAATTATGATGAAATTGAATAAAACTAATGAAATTTGAAACTAAATTGAACAAAATTAAAGAGAATTGAGACGAAATTGAATACAAAAAATTGACACGTGACACCCATATTGTCTTGACATGTGACACTGAGACTGACTTGATACGTGACACTATCAATGTCATGTGACAAGATGTTAACTTGACAGGTGGACAATTTTTTTTAAATTAAGAAAAGTTAAAAAAAAAACATGAACTTACATGTAGCAATTTTACCATTCCCTTCATCATATGAATTTAAGAATTTTTGAAATTTAACTGAGACTTTACTTTAATTCTATTTATAGAATTTGATTGAAAATGTACTTTGATTGAATTTGATGTGAATAATCTAAAATATAATTTGGTTGAATTTGATATAAATAATCTAAAATGTACTTTGCCAACAAATTAATTAAAAATTTATTTTGATTAATTATTGATTTGAAAATCTAAGACAATAATCATTTGAACAATAATCTTTATATAACCGATGATAAATCCAACTTAAAAAAATAGTAAAATCAATTTATTTTCTTTATTATATTTTTATCTATTTTCATTTTTTGGCAATTTAGATTCTTTTCTATTTATTATTTTGCTATATAATATTTTATTTATTTTTCTTATATCATTTGACTAATATTTTTATATAAATTTTATAAAAACTAACTTGTTAAAAATCAATTATATATGGATTCAAACAACGGTATAGAAATTAAACAACGTATAGAAATGGCAGTTTAAAAAATTCATATGATGCGACTGTTGAACTTTATCATTGACTCCAAGTCTTCCTAAACCAAACATTCCAATTTAAAAGAAAAAATTATTTTAACATTCTTTTACCTTCGTTTAACACACTTATTCTTACTCTTTCATTGATAAATACAATGTCAAATGAGTAAAGGTGTTTCAATCTGCCGTATGCTTTTTTAAATCTTTTCTCTTTTTGACAAAGTTAACTTTTTCTTTTCTTTTGTTGACAAGTTAAGGTACAGAAGAAATTATGTGCGGTTTAGGTTGGAAGGGGCAACACATTCAATTTTTATCTTGAAAATTCATTTCATTCCAATTGCTTTTGCTCCAATTGGCATATCTATGATTTCACAAGTTTAGGTTTTTTCTATTAAACTTATTTAATTCATCATTTATAATATATTGTACCATGTAGGTCTTTGCTTTCTCATCACTGACAAAAATTCAAGTCAGTGTGCTATGAATCCCACAGTAGGTAGCTCAAATCAAAATACACAGGAAGAAAACAAAAAGACAAAGACAGTCATGTTTTATTTGGAAGTATTTCACAAATGATTCTTATCAGAATTGTGTTTCTAAAGTTTTTCAAAGAAATTTTGAATTATATAAAAAGAGAATTTGAAGGAAATGAAAATGTTGAGACATGAAAGTTTTAAAGTTAATAAGAGAATTTGATATGCAAATAAAAGAGTGAAGAAGTATGAGACAATTAAATAATACTTAAACAAATTGTTAGATATTATACCAGCAAATTAATTAGATAAAATTGTTAAAAAAGAATTTCTAGATTACAAACTCATTGATCCTGAAGTTCTTTTAAAAAGTCGGAGTCTGCTTTCAATTATTATTATCTTTTGCAAAGTTGGAATAATATTATCATGTACATGTTTCTTCTTTACTTTCTTCTTTCGTGATTCGTTTGTTTTACATGATTTTTAGTAGACAAATTTTATCTGTGCTTTGTCAAAAGATGAGGAAGAAAAGTAATGTCCCACGAGATGATTTCAAATCTTGGTTACTTTTAAAAGAATGATGTGGATCCACGATGGAGCTAATCTTGATTGTGGGAGACAGCAATGTAACGTAAAATCCCGATGAAATTGGAATAACAGATGTCCTTTATGATTTTGTTTGTTTATTTCCGATTTTCTGCAAAATTTAGTCCGATTATTTCCCGACTAACGTAAAACTCATAATGAGTAGTCTTCATTGTTGATGCATAAAGATATAATTAGGCCAAGATCTTAACTACATTCTCCGTAACGATAAAACATAAAACAAAG